GGTGTGTTTGTGTGTGCACAGCATCATCATCATCATCATCATCATCATCATCATCATCATCATCTTGAACAATATATAAATTGAGACTTAAATTATAGTATTATATTTCTCGAAGCGGCTAACCCTTCCAGCCGTATAATATGCAACCACAACTGTGCTGAAATTGACGTAAAAACTCCTCGTGTCTCTAGACCAGACCACTTTGATATTATATTTTGTTCTATTGTCCTCCTCCAGAGCAAGTCTCAGTGGACCCGGGAAGACAGCAAGCAGTTTGAGCTGGAGTACAAGGTGAGAGGTCAGGGGTCAGAACATAGGGGTGAGGGGTGAGGGGTCAGAGTACAAGGTGAGATGTCAAAGGTCAGAACATAGGGGTGAGGGGTCATAGTACAAGGTGAGATGTCAAAGGTCAGAACATAGGGGTGAGGGGTCATAGTACAAGGTGAGATGTCAAAGGTCAGAACATAGGGGTGAGGGGTCAGAGTACAAGGTGAAGTCAGGGGGCAGATGGCAAGGTGAGAGGTCAAGGGTCAGAGGTCAGAGTACAAGGTGAGGGGAATTAAGTGGCAGGATAGATAAATAAGAAATGAAGAGCTGTGGGAAGGGACGGGACAAAAGGATATACATTTTTAAAAATAAGATAAATTACACTTTTATTTGTCCCAGAAGGGCACTTTGGTTTACAATGGCAAACATACATTTACATATATAAATACATAATTATAAATACGTACATACATAAATACATGCATAAATACATCCTTAAATACACAATATTAAACAAATACAGAACAGTTTACAACCATGCCACTGTCGGTCGCCACTGTGCAGCACTGAATAAGAAATGAAGAGCTGTGAGAAAGGACAGGACAACGGAACCTCAGTGCTTTCTCGTCGTATCTCCATTTTTTTTTACAGTGAAAATGTAACTTCTTCTTAAGCTCCCTCTTTGTTATGAACTGTTTTCAATATTTTAAAAAAAATGGAGATATGACAAGAAAGCACTGAGGTCGCGACAAAAGGATATAGAAGTAGAAATAGGACTAAGAAAGTGGCGATGGATGGGACACACCTTCAGAAAGCCCTGCAGAAACATCACAGGACAGTCACTGCATTGGAACCCACAGGGAGCACGGGGCAGGGATGGGCCATGAGAGACATTGAGATGTGGGGAAAGGGACGTGAGAGAGACGAAGCTCACTTGGAACGAGCTAGGAAGGATGGCCCAGGACAGAGATAAATTGAAGGAGTTTGTATGTGGCCTATTCCCTGCCAGGGGTGGAAGGCATTGAGTACAAGGGAAAATGGTACAGTCGTAGATGGAGATATGCCTTGAGAATGCTGACCGTTGAGATGTAGGAAAGTCATTGCTGCAGACATCGTCTACCGACAGACGTCTCATGGGGCTCATCTACTGAATGATGCACCCTGGTGACGTTTAAAGGGGTGCTAACGGTGTGTGTTTGACCTGAAGTGGTCCTTCTGTCTAGGAATTTTTTAGTTCTGATTCTCTACAGGTCCTAACTGTTGGAACATTTCCACCTTAGACATCAAAGGAGTACCTAGATTGCGTACTGTCATAGCCTTAAAGGCACTTTAACATTATTTCCCTCCCTTGTGCGAAACTTACGAAATGATTTGGTGACGAGGAAATGTTCAATACAAAAGGCTCTCTGCTCATTACTGATCTTAACCATGTGATCTCAGCAAGCAAAGGAAACTTGAAAGAAAACCCATCTGCAAACGTCTGTTGGTCTGTTAGAATGCTGAAGCTTGCAATATAGCGCAATTACTGGGATTTTTAGTGGTAGGTCGAATGCAAACTAGTGCGTCATGCTACAAAAATGGGGACATAGCTGAAAATGGATTATTCTTTTACGCGCTATGTAGAGCAAAACTACATTGTATTCGGTGGATTTATCTAAAATGAATATCAGACAAATTAATTCCTTTTGACTTCCAAATGTTGTGTACAAATTTGAAACAAAAATCTTCGGTGTGGAGGAAAACATTAAGAAAAAAAGTTAAACAGATGGGTTTTTTTTTTATCACCCTGTATCTATCTCTGCTCCCATCCCCTCGCATATCACCACCGCCTTCCCTTTTGCCGATTGTCCCATATCCCCCTC